GGTTCTCGAGTGGCAGCCTCGTACCCGTAGGCGTAGTGTAGGGTGACCCCCACCAGATGGAGTGACGACCTGGTAAGACATGCAGGAAGTCGATGGATGCAGGTGGCTCAAGCCCGTGCTTTGTGTCATTACTTGGGGGAGGCCTATGTTCAGCAGAGGACTTGTAAAGGGTTGTAATGATGATGATAATGAACGGTAACGGTAAACAATCAGGACGACAATAGATGATAATAACAATGCAGATTACCTACCTGTATTCAGCTCCCCACCCTTTGACAAAACTCATCCGTATAGTGCACATGCGCGTCAGCTGGAACACCGCCTCGAACCCTTGAGACACTGACTGCGACAACAACGCAGCGAATTCTTGATTGTTGAAGATTTTTAAGTTGCATCCTAAAACGTGAATTAAAAATATCAAATACCACAGCACTGATATTCTTGAATAAAATATATTTTAAACACAAATTAATGGTGAAATGTTAATGGCAGCTATAAAGGCGGCTCGACAGCGAGCAGCGCTGTGTGTAAGAACTAAGTTAAGTTGCGGTGCTGGGGGTAAAAACTAAGTTTATATGCTCTGCAAGTAAGTTTAGCTATGGTATCGCGAGTAAGAAATAATTTCATCTATTGCGTTACAGGTAAGAACTAAGTATATACTAGCTGCGGGTAAAAACTAAGTTTAACTGTAGCACTAAGTTCAACTGCAGCGCTACGGGTAAGAATTAAGTTTAGCTGCAGTACTAAGTTCAACTGTAGCGCTGCGGGTAAGAACTAAGTTTACTTGCAGCACTAAGTTCAACTTCAGCGCTGCGGGTATGGAAATAAGTTTAACAACAGCGCTGCCAGTAGGAACTAAGTATAACTACGGCGTTACGAGTAGGAACAAAGTTTAACTATGAGACTACGAGTAGGAAAGACGTTTAACCACGGCGATGCTAGTAGGAACTAAGTTTAACTACATCGCTGCGAGTAGGAACTAAGTTTAACTACGGCGCTGTGAGTAGGAACAAAGTTTAACTATGAGACTGCGAGTAGGAAAGAAGTTTAACCAGGGTAATGCTAGTAGAAACCAAGTTTAACTACAGCGCTGCGAGTAGGAACTAAGTTTAAATACGGCGCTGCGAGTAGGAACTAAGTTTAACTATGGTGCAGCGAGTATGAACTAAGTTTAACTACGGTGCTGTGAGTTGGAACAAAGTTTAACTATGACACTGCGAGTAGGAGAGAAGTTTAACCACGGCGATGCTAGTAGGAACTAAGTTTAAATACAGCGCTGCGAGTAGGAACTAAGTTTAACTACGGCGCTGCGAGTAGGAACTAAGTTTAACTACAGCGCTGCGAGTAGGAACCAAGTTTAACTACGGCGCTGCGAGTAGGAACTAAGTTTAACTACGGCGCTCCAAGTAGAAAATAACTAACTACAGCGCTGCGAGTAGGAATTAAGTTTAACTACGGCGCTGCGAGTAGGATCTAAGTTTAACTACGGCGCTGCGGGAGTTTGCATGAACTTCAAATAATTGTTTCTTGTACAGGTGTTTTATGTTTAATTTATGTTATGTTATTATTATTAGTAACTAACGTAACGTATTATTATTAGTAGTTATTATAACTTTAAATAAAAAGGTCAGGTTTTATTCTCGAACGACTTAACAGTATTTTACTACTATATACTTGGTTACGCCACCATCTATTGGAGGCCACAAGTTCTTCCGTATATTTTCCAATGCCATTTACAAGAGTAAACCTTACCTGGTGGTATTTTGCAAACTGTGGCGGGATGCCATCCATAGCGCTGGTTGCAATTGGGACTTTGCACGAATATTGAAGAGTCGCTCAGACACTCTGCAAACACCTCACCTAAAAATACCGATATATGTATGATATTTATAGTCAACCAAATCTAATAGTATAAGATCCCGATATAAAACGACCTTCACCGAGATGCTTATTTAATGAAACGTATTTTATATTTAATTTAATATGTCAATAAATATAATCCATATGGGTTGCCTAGCAAATTTCAGTCGAGAGTATGTTTAATTAATAATTAAAAAAAATTTTTTTTAAACATTTCACCGGTATGATTATTAGATAAATTCTATACCAATCGAAAGTATGAAGCCCATAGAATATGCAAACGTTAGGTTGCCTATTCTTTTCTGGTCACAACTATCGGGTTGCCAGGTATAAACAGGTAAATATGTACTAGCATTTTGCAACGGTCTGTTTATTGAATGAAATTTAAATGAAATTAAAGATTATTTTATTCTGAACACGGTGGTATAGGGTTGCCTGCGAAAACTCAGTCCAGAATTGCGGTTGTCGAATTTTAAAAAGTAAAATATTGCTCCGAGTGAATGTGTGCGACTGAGAGGTCCCAACCGACCATCCCATGCGATAGAAGAGGACACAGCATATCAGCTGTTTAAAGTCCGCCCACTTAAAGAAAGAGAGTGCGCATGCTATTTGGGCTTGGAAAAGAAAAGGATAGCGATAGACTCGTATATACTATGCATCAATCTGGAGTAGTGTCGCTATTGTCTAGTTGTCAGTCGATGAAAAAACGTGCTACTATTTATTGTTGGAAAAAATGGCAAAAAAGTGTTTTTTGTGTGGATCGGATGATGAAATAATTGATTTTAATGATGAAACTTTTAAAAACTGTGTATTAAAGTTAGCTTTTCGTAAAAAAAAACACTTTAAATACAATTTTGTTGAGCTACCCAGTCTCTTCAATTTGTAGGTTATCATACCACGTGCTAAAAAAAAGTGACCGTTTTGAATAAAAAATATAACGAAGAATTTCTTAATTTTAGTGCTGAATATACAGTAAGTACATAATAATTGAATCTTTAAAATTATCTTAGCTAATACATCTTCTATATTTTTTTCATGTTTAAATAATTGTTAGTAAAATTCACCTATGGTTTTGTTAATTTTCGACACACATAATTTTTTTGTAATTTACTTAAAAACGGTAATTTATAAATTAAACAAGAAAATGATCTGATTTCCTTTTTTTTGTAACAATTAATGAGGATGTTTTCAATTAACTATTCTTAACAAGAAGTTTATAAAATTTATATATCAAACATTTTCATACTACTGAAGAAGAATCAAAACAGTTGAACCCTAGTGTCGATTCCTGTGCTACAGTTGCTGAAGATGAAACGTGTAATGTTGAAGACCTGTCCCAAACTTCTGGGGACTTTGACAAGTTAATAAAATATTTTTTGTTATTTTTTTAAGTTTTTTTTAAAAAAATGATATGAAAATCTATTAATTGAACTTGTATTTTCAATTATATTTATTTTCATCGATTTTTACTCAAAGAATGATTTAATTCTTTTAGGAGCAGTCAACATCAACAGCATCGACATCAAGCAAAATTATTTGCCTTTTTTGTGACCACAGCCAAAAGCGATGTGGGAAGAAGCTGGTCAATCTTACTGTCCCTAATGATTACAAAGTACCACTACAGATAAAAATATAGCGCAAAATTTTGGCGATTCGGTAATTCTCTCCAAACTTCAACATCAAACTATCGCGTACTATCTGCCTTGTTACGCAGTGTATCAATCGAAAAATAAGCGGTCCACGGAAGAATCTACCCATTCCAACTATAGTAAATATAGACCAAACTTCAACATCAAACTATCGCGTACTATCTGCCTTGTTACGCAGTGTATCAATCGAAAAATAAACGGTCCACGGAAGAATCTACCCATTCCAACTATAGTAAATATAGACAGTTACATCAGTTGGCCTTTCAATCCATATCGAATTTCATTGAAACAGAAATAATTGAAAACATCAAGGTTATGTACTTGGCTCAATTATTTTTAAGATACCAAGCTTTATTGTTAGAGTTTGGAAATCATGAAATTGATTTCGATGATATTCAAGATTACCGACGTGAAACCTTGCAAAAAAAATTAATGAAGAAATTCGATGATAGTATTACGATTGAAGCGTCAATGGGAATACGTAACCAAAAAAATTGTGTATAAAACAGACATGGACGTCTCTGTAATGGCAAACAATTTCAAACTTTTGGAGACAAGAAATGATTATGAGTTTGAAAATGTAGCATATTATTTGATAAGCTGCATTAAAAATATAGATGCTCATCTGCTTTCTCGCAACATAACTGCTGATGATGTCATTCGTGGAGAATGTGACATTCCTAAGCAATTAATTGATTTTATACGAAATCTTATCGAAGGGCCTAATTTTTCTGATGAAGATTCGAACGGACTAAAAGTTAAAATAACGTCAATATGTAGTGATATTATTTATGCTGTCACTAGGGGTGCATGTAAGCCCTCAAAAAGTTTGTCCCTTGGATTGGCAGTAAAGTCTTTAACCAACTCTCGGCAAGTAATTACGATACTTAATAGGTATGGCCATACAATTGGATATAATTTGGCAGAAGAATTGGAAACCGAAATGATATACATCGATCCAAGATAACAATGTTATACCAAAAGGCATCACTGCAGCAAATGGACACAGCACCCACGTAGCGTTCGACAATTTCGACCGCTTCGTTGACACAACTTCTGGAAAGGACACAATGCACGACACAGTTGGAATTATTTATCAATTCTCTAGTGATGGAACTGATAATTTTGATGATGGTGAAGCTACAACTTCATCAGTGTCTCAAGTAAATGACAACTAAAATGGAGAAGGACCTACCCGCAAATGAAATATCACGAGAAATTCGGTCATATTATTCGAAACCTAAGGCAAGTATGCAGCTGATTATTGTAGATTCGTTTACCGATACAACCGAGTTATGCAAAGGTGCTACGGAAATAGCATCAGATAAAGATTTATTATGGATAGTGTCGTTGTCAAGAATTGATTCCGTTCCTTTGTGGTTGGGTTATAACTGAATATCTTTTGACCACAGTGAGAAGCAAAAAGTTGAATATTTGCCCCCCATAAATTCATCACCAACGTCGTATGCGGTAGTCAATGAAACATTAAACATGGCTAAAGAAATCGCTGAAAAATGTCAACAGCCAGAAATTATTGTAACTGACTTAGCGATAGCAAAAATGGCAATGCAAATTCAAGAACAAGAAAAACCGCTATACAATAAAATTTTGTTAACTTGGGAGCTTTCCACACAGAGATGGCATTTTTTAGAGCCATCGTAAAATATATTGACAGCAGTGGATTAGTGGAAATATTGGTGCAAGCAGAAGTATTAGCCGGCGGCAAATATTACATTTTGAACAGTATTTATCCACAACTAATGTAACACTTGAGGCGATGGATGAACTGCCGCAAACGCAAATACAGAATGCATCAAATCAGACTGCGAATGACGTCAACGAAACAATCGAGTTACCAGATTTATTGAGTCGTATTGTTAACGGTTATAAAGAATTCTGCAATCAGACTTTGATCGGAGAAAAAGGGAAAACTGCTCAATTTTTCGCCTTTGGAATTTACTTTTTAATTAATTAGACGAACTGCAGCAAATTTTGCTCGATCACCGGTTGACTTGACGCTAGAGCAAACTATCAATGCTGATGCTAGCAATCAATTGGCTGATAATCTTGCTGCTGACTCAATATCCGCACGTCAAAGATGGGCGCTCAGTCACAGCATGAGGACGAAGATATTAACATCTATCAAACAAAATATCGGATTAACGAAAAAAGATGATACTTCGCACTCATTGCAACAAAGTAAAATTAAGAAAGACAAAAAAAATCTTAACAGTATCATTGAAGCAATAAAATGTACGATGAATCCATTTGATGACACTATTGACAAAGATACATTATTCAACATTTCAACCGGCAAAGCTGCGTCTAAAGAAGTTGCTGTTCAGTTTCCTGCTGAACGTGAAAACAGCAGGCTATCAACAAAAATTAAATTTTATCTCAGAATGCTCTTCAACTCCTGCAAGATTCGATAAACTAATAAAACGAAACAAAATCTGCAATTTTGCTTCTCAATGTATGACTAAAGTCTTGAGTACCAAAGACAAGAACAAGAAAGTATTATTGAAAATGGAACGAGACTTTTGGCAATAAGCCTAAACAAAAAAATTAATCTCGAATTTTGCTTGACTTTTCCACTAGCACCATTGCCCCCTGCTCTTTTTTCATGTACCGGAGAGATGTTAAAAACTTCAAAATCAACGTTAGCAAAGGTTTTGAAATCCAAAACTGAAATGGTTGAGCCAACACATATCAACGTTGAAATAATAGATGGTTTTTATTACTTGCATCTAATCGGATCTTCTATAGCTCAAACTTTTGCTAAAATTGCTGAGGCAATATTCATAAAAATATGTTCAACAAACGCTACAGAAATACATTTGATTTTTGATCGCTACTTATCACAGTCAATCAAAGATTGCGAACGTGAGAGCAGAAAAGAATTCGATATTCCCTACAAAATTTCGGGACCTCAACAAACTAGACCAAAAAATTTTTTGCAAATCCTTAAAATTATCGCTTTAAAGAGGCTCTGGTGCTGTTTCTGGCTGACTATTGGGAAAATGACCATTTAACAATAATCCAAAACAAAAAAATCTTCTTAACCGTCGACCATCACTGCTACTCTTATCAAGTTCAGGAAAATTCCGTAAAAAAAAAAAACTGAAGAAATTAATAATTAATGTCATCACGAAGAGGCAGATACAAGGATTATTTTTATTTATTTTTTTATTACATCCTTAAACAAAAGAATAAAAAAGGGCGGACTTAATGCCTTGAGGCATTCTTTACCAGTCAACCCATGGAGTGGTGAGAATTTGATGTAGGTGTGGCAATATAGAATAAGAGAACACAATACAAATGATAATTAACTACATAATATATACAAACTACTAATAAATGATCATGACATATATGATCTATCCTTACATATATACAAATATATAAATAAATGGATATACATACAAGTATATATATATATATATATATATATATATATATATATATATATATATATATACAACATATTTCTCCCATTTTTTTCTCTTATAAAAAAACAAAAAAAAACCACCCTAATATTCCAAAAATAATTATAAATAAAAAAAAAAAAAACAAAAAAAAAAAAAAAAAAAAAAAAAAAAAAAACCCCAAACAACCCCCCCCACTATATTTTTAAATTAAATAAATATAAAAACCCCCTTCACCTAAAAAATAATACACATTCCTAATATATATATATATATATATATGTGTGCCCGCAGCGCAGCATAAAAAAAAACACCCAGTTGGGACAATTATCTCTCAAATATTATCCCAGAAAAAAAATTCGGAGGCCAAATAATAAAAAAAAAAAAAAAAAAAAAAGAAAAAACTCCCCCTTCCCCTTTTTTTATATAAACAACAAAAAATTTAAAAAAAAAAAAAAAAAAAAAAAAAGCATTTTTTTTATTTTTATTTTTATTGTTTTATTTGTGAGTCAAAAAAAAAAACCCAAAAAAAGGCCCCGCGGCAGTAATAAACCTATATATATATTTAAATACGTACATAATTAGTATATACAAATGACTATGAATATATACGTCTGTTTGGCAATACATATTAAATAGATGAGTCATGTAAAATGTGATGTCTTTAAGAAATGATCACGGACCAACTTTTTAAAAGCGTACTTATTAGGAGCTTTTCTGATGTCATCGGGCAAGGAGTTCCAAAGGCGTGTAGCCTGAACTGTGAAGGAGTTACCATAGACCTCGGTGAAGTGAACTGGAGTACAGATTTTGTTGTTAGAAGAAGAGCGTAGGACCCTATCATGAGATGAAGAAAGATAATGAAATTTACTCTTAAGATAAGAAGGCGAAGATGGATCATTTAATATGGAAAAAAGTACAAGTAATATTGTGGAGTTGCGCCTCTGCCGGATTGTAAGCCAATTTAGCTTAGATCTTTATTGAGAAATATGATCATACTTACGAAGCCCAAAGATAAATCTTATACAGTTATTGAGGAGGCGTTCCAGCTTGTTCAGAAGATTTTGGGACAGGTCTGGGTAACACACATCTGCATAATCAATTATGGGTAACATAAGTGATTGGACAAGCATGATCATAGATTTTGTGGGAAGAAAATGTTTTAAACGATACAGAGAGTATGTCTAACACCTAACGTGGCAGTGACTTTACGACCCACATCTGAAACCTGAGTTCTCCAATTCAGCGTGCTGTCGATGTGAAGGCCAAGATTTCTAACAGAATTACTGAATGGAATTGTAGTATTATCATAGAAAATAGGAGGTAAGTCTGTCAGATTAATCTTAGCCAGCATCCTTGAGCTACCCACATGTATAGCTTGGCATTTCAAAGGATTGACCAAAACTCCATAACGAGTAGACCAATCCTTGATAGCTGCTAAATTGCCGTTAAGGTTTTTGATCCCATTATGGATATCCCCAATCTCAGTTTGCACATAAAGCTGAAGGTCATCGGCATATAAATGGTACGAGCAGTCGATGATCGAGGTAATAAAGTTTATAAAAATTGAAAACATTATAGGAGAAAGAATACCGCCTTGCGGCACACCACAAGGATTATTTTTCATGCTTCTAAAGCGGAACCAGGCTCAAGGATTTTAATTAAAGCCTCTGATACTGACGTTTTGATAATTTTGTTAGGAAATATGCACAAACGTATCGAATCAGAAATTTGGCTTGCCTGTTTAGCAACTAGAAAGACTAAGAAAAAATAATCAAACTGTTGATTGCATTAATTGCACCGACTTAGCGTTGAAGTTGGGAATTATATTACCCCAAAGTCTTCTCGCCTTCCATGCATTTACAGGTTGCGAGTACACGGCAGCCTTTTACAACAAAGGGAAAGTAAAATCTTTTCAGCAATTTTCGAAAATTGAAAAATATCAAACAGTTTTTGCATCATTAACAGATGCTGCTGATATTTTCATTGATGAAAAAAATGAAGACCGTTCAAGAATTTACGGCTAGTATGTACGGTATCAGGAACTGCACCAGTGTGAATGATGCGAGACATCGTACTTTTATAAAAAATTACTCTGCAAAAGAAGACAGCGAGCACTTTTTAAAAAAAATAAAAGGCTTCGACTCCAACTCCATACCACCATGCTGGATAGCATTAACTCAAAAATTTTACGAACTATTTTTCCTAAACCCCATGTGGCTTAATGCAACGGATCCAATATGCGTGAAACTTGAGCCTGAGAACTGCGGATGGTTCTAAGATGAATATTTAAAACCAGTAGGATTCATTGGGGATCATACACCTTTAAAGATAGAAGACATTGTCGAAAAAAGTGAAACAGAGAGTGATGACGAAGAAGATTCAGAAGTTAAAGATAGTAGTTTTATGTCCGATGACTCGGATTCTGAATAATTTAAAAAAAATTGTATTTTTAATTTTTTACAATAAATAGAAGTAATTTTTTAATTGTTGCTTTTTTATTTCGTCTTCTTATAATAAAAATAAAATTTGCAAGATTACCCTGATTAAAAAAATTCACTTTTATGGGTTTTGAATTTTTTCCAATAGTTTCAATTGATTTCAATTTCTCTGTTTACATTTATAGATTTATAATTTGCATGTAGTAATTTTTTTTTAATTTTTTTCAATCAATATTTTTAATCAGGGTAGTATTATATATGTATCACTATAAACTTCTTTTTTACTAAAGATGTATATATACTTTAGTGTCACATAAAAAATATACACATAAATAATTAATTGATTAAAAAAAATTAAATAACTATTTCTCTATTTAAATAATAAACTACTCCAAAATGATGCATAGTATATACGAGTCTATCGCTATCCTTTTCTTTTCCAAGCCCAAATAGCATGCGCACTCTCTTTCTTTAAGTGGGCGGACTTTAAACAGCTGATATGCTGTGTCCTCTTCTATCGCATGGGATGGTCGGTTGGGACCTCTCAGTCGCACACATTCACTCGGAGCAATATTTTACTTTTTAAAATTCGACAACCGCAATTCTGGACTGAGTTTTCGCAGGCAACCGTATACCACCGTGTACAGAATAAAATAATCTTTAATTTCATTTAAATTTCATTCAATAAACAGACCGTTGCAAAATGCTAGTACAGATTTACCTGTTTATACTTGGCAACCCGATAGTTGTGACTGGAAAAGAATAGGCAACCTAACGTTTGCATATTCTATGGGCTTCATACTTTCGATTAGTATAGAATTTATCTAATAATCATACCGGTGAAATGTTTAAAAAATAATTTTTTTTAATTATTAATTAAACATACTCTGGACTGAAATTTGCTAGGCAACCCATATGGATTATATTTATTGACATATTAAATTAAATATAAAATACGTTTCATTAAATAAGCATCTCGGTGAAGGTCGTTTTATATCGGGATCTTAGACTATAAGTAATACATTTTGACAGCTGTCAGACTTATTGTACCAGGCATCATCATCATCATCATCATCATTACAGCCCTTCACAAGTCCACTGCTGAACATAGGCCTCACCCAAGGTATGCCACAAAGCACGGTCCTGAGCCACCTGCATCCATCGACTTCCTGCATGTCTTACCAGGTCGTCACTCCATCTAGTGGGGGGTCGCCCTACAACTCGCCTACCGGTACGAGGCTGCCACTCGAGAACCCTTCTTCCCCAACGGTTGTCGGTTCTTCGAGCTATATGGCCGGCCCATTGCCACTTCAGTTTACTAATCCGTTGGGCTATGTCGGTCACTCTGGTTCTACTGCGGATATCCTCATTTCTAAGTTTATCACGCAGAAACTCCGAGCATAGCCCTCTCCATAGCTCGCTGAGCGACTTTAACGTCCTCATACGGCCAGCAGTGAAGGACCACGTCTCGGTTCCGTAGGTCATCACTGGCAACACGCACTGGTTGTACAATTTAGTTTTCAGGTTTTGAGGTATACCCGACAAGAAGATGCGTCGTAATTTCCC